ACTTCAGCTCGGACTTAGTTGACTGACTGCGTGCATCCTACGCAGAATGCCAGCCTATGAGACGGCATGTTCTCCACCATATAAAATACGTCTTTGGTCTGACACTGTTTAGCGCTATCGACGTAATTGCGGCAACTTCGTGAGGAATGAGAATTCCTCAGTCCAATACTGTCCTGTTAAGGGAAAAGGAACACCTCTGAACTGCCTACTGGTTACAAAGTAGCTAAGAAAAAGCATGTATAAAAATAACGATTTAAAAAGAGACTATTTACATAATTGCATGCGAAACGACTGTTCGAGACTGGGTAAGTACAAACACCTACTCACTGGTTGTGAGTAATATAATTAAATATAATACCAGTCCCTCTCGTGTGGGTTTGCGCGTGGCTATGAAGTACGAAAATTTATACTCCTGGAGTTTGCACTTCAATGAATCCACAACCGACGGGAGAACAACTACTGAATAAAATATGGCATCAATCGATCCTTGCTTTAACTAAGCGTATTTTAGGGGATAATCAAGCAAAGTGGACGTGCTGCTCTGAGTGAACAAATCACTGAGGACATAGCAACAGTCCAGGCCATTCACCATGCGGAAGGTTGAGGTGAGAAAGCCCCATAATTGCCTGTAGGCTAATTTTGTTTAATTAGCAGCCAGACGAAGTCAGATCTATCAAGGACTCCAGACGAGAACTTATCCAAGAACTGTCTTTGCCAATCCAAATTCTGAGGTCTTTCATTGGAATAATCACATACAGTTTACCTAGAGTCATATGGCGTGGATTAGTCAAGAGTGTGAACTAATGAGATTGTGAAGACTGATCTCAAGGCCAATGAACAGTACGGTAGGGCAACTGCGTATGCTTTTACATGTCTCTGCAATTATATTTTCAATCGCGAAATCCAAATTAATTTCATTGATTTATTCGTTCGGGGAAGTTTTCCCATTCTAGCCTCTGGCAAGGTTCTCGAACGCTTGATCGGATTCAGGTCAGAAACAGAGCATTTCATGGCAAAAAATATTTTCCTACAAATTTCAATGGGGGTTTTAGTGTAGTACTTTATGCGAGATCACATGTACATTTGGTGTAACCGTTACGCGAACACAAAATTCAGGCAAAGATGTTTGTCTAAAATCGTCTTGAAGGGAAAGCTGTTTGCAGGGTTGCTCAGCGTGCAAAACGTTTATCTGACAAAAGTACTTCTTTGTTGGGTTCGGCGCGACCCTGTGAGCTGATCGGATCCAGTAGACATCATTTCGACCCTCTTCTGTATGCTACATATGAATGCTATAGTGTGGGTAGTAGAAGCCATGTTTTTACTTGCTGAGGGGGAAGAGGGGGTGGTGGGGCAGATCAGTTGATTTCTTCTACGCGTTGGCTCTAATCTTGTCAAACATCTGAATTATGTCCTCCTTCTCGTGCGAGAATGAGGTCGGGATCAACATGCCCAGTCCGGACACCACAATCACCAGCAAGTTGACCCAGAAGCAGACCCGGTCTACCGCCAGCGCCAACAGAGCCCACTCATTGGACC